TTCTTTTGGTGTCTTGTACGTCTCATCTTTAGCTGTTTTTGTGGTCTGAGTATAGAATTAGCAGTGCTGTAAGAATGTAAAGAACATTGCTTGTCCTGCTCTTGTATTATTAGCTCTTCAGCACCCAGCACAGGGCCTTGACTGTAAGTGAGTATTTCTTGAGTGTTTGAATGTATATAACCAGCAAGAGTTATCGGAAGGTAGAGAATCATATATTCCTAGCTTTGACTTTCTGCTAGTTTCCCACAATCCTTTGCATGATACTAGTATTTAATATATCACTGTAAATGAAATTAAAGTCGCATTACCTTCAGAATTAGATTTTTAGTGAACTACTTTAAAGATAAAAGGTAATAAAAGTATAATGACTGACTAGAAAAAAAGTGTTTCCATTTGCTTATAGAAATTGCTATATTTTTTCTCAAGAAGAGGGTTTTTTCAAAAAATTTTAACTATATTAGTATTATGGATTATTTGAAAATAAATAGTTTCTATGCATTTATAGAATAAATATGTTTTCTATAGCTATCACATCCAGGAAATAGATATTTCTTTAATAAGTACATGTTTTCTTTGGAAAGTTTTAATCTGATGCTTTACATTTTTAAGTCTAAATTATAAAATTACCTGTGATTCTAATTTATTATATGTAAAAATGGCATCAGGATAATCCAACTGAAAGCTCAGTTTCAAAGGCATAGTCTTGAAGTTTATTTACTTTGTTTGCTTTCTGATTTTACACAGCACGATATTTCATATTTCATCACACATATGCAGTAGTCATAGAATAGTTTCTGTCCCTTGATACAATAGGCTCTTCAAGACATTGATATGTGTACCTCCTCATGAACCTTGTATTTAGTTACTGAAATACAGATTTAAAGAAGGGAAAAGCACATTCCTTTGTTATTGATGTTTATTGACTACACTTTGGTTTTCCTCCCAGATTGATTTTCTGTGCTCTCAACTATTTCCTTCACCTTTTATTTGGTGTGCAGTGTGGCCATCAGGGATAGGGAAAAGATGAGGCAGCACTGTTAATTGTTATAGGCATCTTAGAGTTCCTGTTCTTCATATTTAACTGAGTTTTAAAGTCTTCTACATATATTACAGTTTTATAATGAGAAGACCTGTTAATTACTGAAGATTCCCTCCATTGTTACCCATTGTACTCCAGAGAGTTGACAAGTCCTAGCCCCATACTATTTTAACGCTTAAATCTCTATGATTTCATTAATATTAACAGTAATGTTCTCTCTAAAAATACAAGAAGATACTTTGTATTTTTGAAGATCCTTTGTCTTTTGCTAGCACCATTCACTGTTAATGTATTTTTCAGTTTTATTCACAAAGATTAGTTTGAGATTATGTGAATCCAAAGTATTCGTATACATATACTTTCTGGAATAAGCCAATGACTTATGTAGTGCTTTTCAATATTGTGTGTTATAAAGAGAAATATCTTTTGATGAGTACAATGCAGGTGTATTGGAGACATACTTTTTTCCTCTCTGCAAGGAAGGTGTTACTTTTTAAAAATTAAATACTTCCTTGTACCATTCATACTAAGTAAGAGAATGCGTTTTAAACACAGAAATGTCTGCTCTATTTTCTTTCCTTGAATGGGAATAGTTTTTTTTTTTTTTTTAATTTGGAAATGTCTGTTGTCTCATCTGTCAAGTATTTCATTGCATTTTTGAGGAATTGGAGTTGGGACGCCAGCAGTAGCATGGAGGAGGAATGGTTGCTGCCCTTAAGGCATGCACTTAAGCAATAGAGGAATTTACTTTTCAGTGTCTTCCAAGGCCCATGAAGATGCACACTTATTTATCCAGAGAGTATGGATCTCACATGCGTTTATCCAGAGGGTGTGACTCTGTGGAAGAGAACACTTATGGGTAAGTATCAAGCTCTCATTGTATTATGTTCCAAATAAATACATTTAGAAGTCAATTGATTTTAGCAGTGATAAAATCTCTTAGCCTGTGCTGGTTTCTCAACAGTGGACAGTTCCAGATGTTGAAGTCAGCATAACAAGAGAAAAACCCAAATCCTGATAAGACTTGAGGATTTTTCGAAAATTAAATGCAAACTAGTTGGGGCAAATGTTGCTGCGGGAGTCAAGACTAAGTCATACAGTAAGAAGAATGAAGCCGGAGTGCTCCTTCTGTTCCTCTTTGCATACAGTTTGCATGTGTGCAAACCCAGGACGTAATGACTTTAGGAGGGCAGAATTCAGCTCTTGGAACTTAAGACAGCAGACTCATGTGAACTGGAATGTACACTGTGGCCTCAAAATTTATTTTAATATCGCTTTGCAAAGTCCTTTCTGTTTCTAAATAAAAGCTATGCCTCCTGGAACCTGTAAGTGATGCATACTGGCCACATCAGATCTTTTGAAGTGTTTTCCAAATTCAAAATTGTTAGTGTGGAACAAATGTTTACTTGAGAAACAGGGGAGATGGGAGGGTTGGTTTCAGAGATCAGTTATTTGCATCTGCTCTCACCTTAATATCCCTTCTCTTTTCCTCTCAGCTCAGAAACTCTTAGCTGAAAAAACTTGTACATTAACATTTGCATATGTGATATGAAAGATCGGAACAAATCAAAATAAAACAGCCACCTAAATATGTAATCAGTTTTCTGGAAATTAACTACAGGACATAAGCATTTGCCACAGCAAATGCCAAGTCTGCACTGCCACGTGAAGGCTTAGCGAGGACTGACATAAACCATACCCTAACCAACAATGAGTGGCTGGCTGGCCAGGCCCGAAGAGGAATCCCTGCGTGGGAGAGCTTTAGCTTCTGGTGGGCAAGAGTTAACCAGTAGAGTTGCCAGTTATTAGCTCACTGGTTCTCCACAAAATTCTTCAGTGCTGTTTCCTCTGCTGTAGCATATGTGTGTTACCTCCCACGTGATGACAGGCATAGTCCCTCGGTGCCAAATCAAGGAATCTGGCCACGAGCTGTAAATCACAGTTAGAGAGATTTGGGGTAGCAAATTGCAAAAACAACTATTGTGGACATGATGGAGGATGGAGAATGCATAACTGTGTGAACCAGTTTTTTTGCTTTACCTTCTCATTCTACCTAGCTCCAATCTTTAGGGCTTACTTCAAAAATCTCTTGAAGCCACTTTCTAGGAGATGTGGGAAAATGTGTGCAAAGGGAAAGAGCATCCAAAGCAGAAAGCTTGGGTGGAAGGGAATGAGATACTTAATCATCTAGCAGTTGTTTAACTGGATGTCTGCTATATCCTAGGACTTGGGAGTCTAGTAGTGGACAGACAAAAATTCCTCCTAGTTGAATGACTATGGTTTTAAGTTGGTTGGTGGCTATGAATAAGCCTGTAAAGGAGATGGTGAGAGCTGGGCGGGGGTAGCTTTGTTTAAAACAGTAATCAAGGAAGAACTGATAAAAAGATGATAGATGAGTGGAGGTTTGAAAGCGGTCAGGCAGCCACCATGTGGCAATCCGTGCAAAGGGGAGATGAGGACAGATCCTGTAAATCGCTGAGAGAACTTTGATTTTGAGAGAGAAAGAAAGCATTGAAGAATTTTGAGCAGAAAAGTTACATGACATGACCTACTTCTTAAAAAGAATCTCTTGGCTGCTGTATAGAGAATAGGTAGCAGGGGGCAATGGAATAATGGACTAGGTAAATGTTATTAGAATAATTCAGGCTAGAGATGACGGGGGCTTGGATAGGATGAGAGTGTTAGAAGTAACAAGTGTCAGATTCTTGATCCATTTGAAGGTAGATCCTTTAGGATTTAACTAGTCTTTTTGGAGTGAGAGAATGAGGCAAATTAAAGATGACCTTGAAACTTTTGGGCTGAGCAACTGAAAGGACAAAGTTGTCATTTACTGTGTACTGAGATGAGGAAAACTGCTGGAGAAGCAGGTTTTGAGAAGAGATCAGTTAAGGTGTGGGCAGGTGAAATTTTTACTTTATATCTGGGGTAGTGTAGATAATGATAATTGGAGATACAACGGTCATTATTTAAAGGTTCATTTTGCACAAAAGTTGATAAGACAAAGTTATTTAAGTGATTTAAATCTCTATGAAGATGATGCTTTGATTCACATTTTATTTACAAAGAGTTAATACAGAAATAACTTTATGACTGTAAGTTCCATGTTGTTCAGATGTTCTAGTAACTCAGTTACAGAACAGATGTACAAAGGTATCTCCATAATTGATTGAATGCAAATACTTTTAGCTGCCTTTTTATTGTACACACACACACACACACACACACACACACACACACAGCACACACACCCCCCACAGAGACTTAGAGAAGTATTAGTAATGTCTTTGATGAAGTTTACTTGGTTTTTTTATTTGATGTGTTGAAAGCTTATAATGTAGGCTTTAAATTTGAACATGCACTTAAAAGTTTTAAATGTGATGGAATGGTATTAATATGTGATTTTAAAAATCAACATGTTTTAGAAATTCTTTTAAATTGTTTAGTTCATGGTAATTTATGTTCTTGCCAGTTTGATGGGGGAAATATTTGCATACTCTAAGTGTGTTCCTTTTTATAGTAGAATACATAATTTTATTTTTAAGGCATAAATATAAGTAATGAAAACACGTGTGATTGCTGGAGCTTTGGTGTTGTTATTCTAGGTAGGATGACCTCTGTATAATAATGGTTGCAGAATGGAAATTTCAATCCATCAAAAATGCCTACTTTTGTTTAAAGGTTTATATTCTGTTTATAATTTTCACTCGAAAAGCAAATGGAATATTATTTATTTTATAAATTCTTAAGTCATTTAAGGTGTCAGTGGTCCATTGAGTTAAATTACTAGGAAGAGATGAATATAGTTTTTGTAAAGTAGTAATATGAATTACATATTCTTAAAGGTCGTTTGTAGTGATCTGTGAAATATGACTGTGTATGGTTTCAGTATCCTTGGATTTTTAAAAATTTTAGCTTCTGACCTCTCGTCTCTGTCAATAGCAAAGTCTTTTTGATCACACAGGAAGCCCTGCATGTTGCAGGAGTGGAAATGCAGCTAACGGCCGCAGTGTCCTTTCTGACCATCCTGCAGGAAGAGTCAGTGTCCACCCATGCGTATGCCCACTCCTTCCTCCAAGTCATTCTCCTGCACCTGGAGCACAGGGACACAGGTCAGGATGCAGCGTGCCAAGTGTTGTGTTTGTTTAGTGATTCTCGTAAATGGCCATGCTGTTGTTTGGCTTCTGTGAGCCCGAGGAGGATAATTGAGAAGGCCACGCTGAGACTGCAGCAGTGCTGTGCCTTGAAACGGCTGTGGGTGTCTTTTTACAAGGGTCACAAAATTCGGTATCTTTGCAGGGGGAGAGCTCATTAGTTCGTCTTCTGGTTTGATTTATATGTTCCTCTTAAGAGTGTTTTTTTCTTTTACAGGTGTGTTTATACATCTTGATTTATAGATACCCCCCACATCACTATTAAATTTATGAAAAATTTCTAGATGTTGGCTAAGACAAATAATAGAACTTCTTAGAATAGTAATAAAATCATTATACATGTATTCTTATTTTATCGTTAAATGCTATTGTACCTGTTAAAGTCAGAGTTGAAACTACATTTGTGAGATGTTTACTTTAGCCTGTTAATATCTGTATCCATCAGGTGTCAGCAATGCTTGGCTGGAGACTCTTCTGTCTGTGATAGAAGTGTTGCCTAAAGAAACCCTGAGACATGAGGTAACACCATAGGTTACCTTTTTTGTTTGGTAAATACTAATAAGTCTTTCTAAATTTTTTTTGTCAAAATCATTTCTAAATGAGTAAAATTGTTTCCAATTCTGAAAGCAACAAATGCTCATTGTAGAAAATTTAACCAATACAGATAATAGAAGGAAGAAAAATAAGTCATGCTTTTGTACTGGGACTCTTAAAATTCTGATGTACCTCTTTTCCCTGATGTGGCTGCTTCTGGCCATATTAGTAATCATATTGCATCTATATTATCATTTTCCACTTAGTATTATTTTTCTGTTATTTTAAACTCATTTGGGAGTAAATGCAAAACAGTTACTAAACATTCAAAGCTTTCAGGCTTAAAATTTAGTATCAAAATAAAGAGGTAAAAACCCCTCTGTAGAGATTATACAATAATAAAATAAGTTCTTAAATGTAGCTTCCAGAAAAGTAGAGTTACCGAGCCAGAGAAGGCATTAATATTAAGCTTTTGACTAACTATATACGAAAATGCTATTTCTCTGGATTTTTATCAGCAGTGGTATTCCAATTTAATTTGTTGGTTTAAAAATAAAATTACATCTTAATTAGAAGTTTTAAATTATACTGTTGGCCACTCTTTCATATATTAGTATCACTTCTGTTTATTGTTTTGGAATCGTCTAATCTTACCTTTTGATCACTGTTTATATATGCTGTTTGCCTGTTAAGGTTGCTCATTTTTGTTACACTAGAAAGTATGTTATTGTAAATATTCTTAATTTGTTTTTTGCCTCTTGTCAATGTTGTTCAGTAATTCTTGAAAGATTTTCAAGTACATTAAAATGAGAAAATAGGAAAAGTAGAAAGGAAATTTACCCTCTAATGAAATGATTTTGCATTGTTTGAACATTATTTGTGTATTTCTTTTCAAATATGTCATGATTAAAAAAAAAAAACCAGTTACCAGTTAAGGAAATGTCCTGTACTGATTTCATTAAATGTCTTTGTCCTTTCTTTGCCCTCATGCATTTTATATTTCTATCACAATGCCAAAATGCTTGCTTGAAAATGGAAAGATTTATCAAGTTGTAAGAATTTTTGTCCTGTTGTATCAGCTTCCCAGAGTATGAAAATGTGCATTTCAAAAATGTACTTTATGTGCATTTAGGTCACTGAAGAATTCACCATGAGCTTTACTTCAATTTTTTGTTCATAATTGCTTTTAACTGCATAATTCATTTTTTTGCTCCATTTATTTATTTATTTAAATCTCATTGAGTGTATTGGTACATTTTAGGTATACAGTACAGTTACAGTCATCATTGGGATCTTGTTCCTTTACATGGCAGATCTTGGTTCTCATTTTTTCCCTGTACCCTTGCCCTCCCTTTACCTCCTCCACCCTCCCCTATTTACAAAGACTTTGTTTCCATTTTTTCCTTTTCCCATTTTTTCTTCTCCCTTATTTCCTTTCCTCTGCGTAATTTATTTTTACCTTTACCTTAACCCAGAAGATAAACGAAAGCCATTCAGGTTATAAACAAACTTCAAATTATAAATCAGATTATTTCAAAACATTTAGAACATTAAAATAGTCTTTGGAGGAAATAGCTGGCCTTTATTAGAAGAATGTGTACAACTTTGTGAATTTGTTCCCTAAATCTTTTCCCTTTAGATTTTGAATCCACTCGTTTCCAAGGCACAACTGTCCCAAACAGTCCAGTCCCGTTTAATTAGTTGTAAAATTTTAGGAAAATTGACCAACAAATTTGATGCCCATATGTGAGTATTTGTATGTATTTGTCTCTTCTGTTAAATGAAGTTGATTTAATATCTGACGGCAGTATGATTGATTATATTAGATCTGTCTTATGCCATACCACACACAAGTTTAGCTTTTTTATCTTTATAGAATTCCCAGACAGAAATCTCTCTATTCAGAAGCACTCCTCAGTGTCTTGACTTTTACAGATCAGTAAGATTGACTTAGCTCCTGCTTCTATCTTAGTCTTTCTGTCTTGTTCCTATTGTACTTTTGAACATAAAATAGCATTGTCTTAAGACTTTCAGAATTGGTAAAAATGACAAAGTTAGTATTTCTTCTCTTGTACAGTATTGTTATGAGCTTTGTTATTTTGAATCTTATTTTGAAGTTTTATGAACCATGTTTACAGTTCATGTGCTACTCTGCTCAAATGATAAATACCAAAGGCAAGAATGGAATGTTACATGATTATGACCGGAGAGTAAAATATAAATTGAAAAATATTTTGGTTGTTGTTGGAATCAGCTCCTTCATTGCCATAGCCTACTGTCTTAGAGAGAGCAATCCAAAATTAACCATGAATTCTATACATAGTTTGCAAGAACCCGATAACCTCCATATTTACTAGCATAGACATACATGGTAAATTATAAAGCCTTACATTAAAGAATATTGTTATTATTAAGGTAATTTATGTGTTTAAAGATAATTGTTCAAAAATACTAATTTTTTTTACACCTTTGTCCATTTACCATTTTTTTTTTCCTCTCTTCCCTCAGCATTAAAAGAGAAATACTCCCTCTGGTAAAATCACTCTGCCAAGATGTAGAATATGAAGTCCGATCTTGTATGTGTCGGCAACTAGAAAATATAGCTCAGGGCATTGGGTAAGTATACTTTCAATTCCTTAGGCCATAGGCTTATTTCTGGGTGATCAGACATGCATGTCCTGTCCCTATATTTCAGGAAATCATGCTATTGAAAGGCTACACTGCATGTGATCTTTCGAAATGATCGTAACAAGTACTTCTGGATATGTCTGGACTAAAAGAGATAAAAGGGAATATGTTTAGCTTGGTGGTAGACATTCAATTAACATTAATTTCCCTCTCACCTGAACCAAGAAAAGTAAATGTCCCAGCATAAACCATGTTCCTGCTCTATACCTTGCATTTCTTCTGGTTGCCTTTCCTGGGTTCGGTTACCGGCTTGTTTCAGATGAGATTGCTCTCCTGGAAGCCTTTCTGTGTCTCTGTGTGAGGTTAGGCTTCCATTACCTTCTTTGTTGCTCTCCTTGCCCTCTGGGTGCATGGAACTCCCAGAAGGAAAGGCCTTGGGCAGCCAGTTGGTTCTCTAAAACCATGAGCCACACAAAGCTGTAAGTATGGTACTAAAAGGAATCGTAGCCAAAAGCCATCTTTCTTGGGGATTTTTTTAAATGATTCTAAATTGGTACTTATTTTTAGTAGAAGCTGCACTGAGTTCATCTAGTTCTTTTTTTCACAAACAAGGACAGTCAGATATGGTGCTCTGTACCATTGTTAATGTATTAAAAACCTAGGCTGATACTTTATGCTTTGGGAAAGCTTTAGGATGTCACACAGACTCAGGACATTGAACTGTCCTCTGTCCTGTGTCTACTCTAGGCAAGTAGGGGTTAAGTGTTGAAGCTTAATGGTTCAGAAGAGTAATCAATTCCTTTGTTTTGTTCTTAGAAAAAACTTGGGATAAGTCTCTAAGTCTAGGTGACCTTCTTTGGATCATTGTGGAGCATAATTAATTCAGCCTTGCTCAGAACTGTGCCTGTCAGTCAGGAGAGCATACTATTATTACCTTAATCACTTTATTAAGATGTAGAATATGCATTTATCTGTTTTTGGCCACCTGACACTTCATCACTGCCAAAAATAGAAGAGTCAAGTGTGTCCAAATTAGTCTTTTGAAAATTAAGGTAGGACTATTTAAGGATCAATTTATAAAAGTAAAATTAGAAAAAAAAACTACCTAGCTTGTTAAAGTTAGAACCACTTAAGAAACTAATTTACTTGATCATATGTACAATTATTCAAATTCTTTTTTCTTATTAAGAGCATAAGAGAACTTTCATGTTATGACAGCTGGAAACTACTAACACTTGATTCCTACTTGTGTTTGTGGTCCATTATTATAATCCAGCTGTTGAAATGACCAATTTATAAGGAGAAAGGTTTATCTGGTCTCATATTTCAAAGGTTTTAGTCCCTAATCTGTTGGCCCTGTTGCTTTGAACCAAAGACAAGCTATCATATCCTGGCGGAGAGCAGGGAGCTCCTGGGAAGCAAATCCCTAATCCTAGGGCCCAGGAGCAAAGGAGGAGGAACTGGCTGAGGCCCCATTGTATCCCTTTACAGCCTGTAATGACGTGAAGACCTCCCACTAGGCCTCCACTCTCTTAAATTTGTTACCACATCCCAATAATTAATCAAGAGGACAAAACTTAATTGTCAAAAAGTTCTTTAAAATCTCCCTGCCTTAAAAGAAGATTGAGAATTTGATGATGGGAAATATTGAGATGAAAAAGCTGCCAAGAAAAAGAAAATTTAAATCTAGTTAAAATTAAATAATTTCTAAAAAACTAAAAGTGGAATTGAAAGATTCAAAGAAGCATGATAAACAACTAAGCACTGGTGAAAGTTTTTAGTCAGTGACTTAGAAGATGAATTAGTCCTTTCAAAATAGAAGCAAAAGATACGTATATAAAATGTAGAGACAAGCTATTAGATATACAGTAAAGGCAAGAATGATCTTCCATGTGAACAGCTGATGTAACGATGAAGTGACCGCATCGTATGATAGATACAATAATATCAGACAACATAGAAGAAAACTTCCTTCAAGACTTGAGTACAATATGGAAGGAATCATCTTATATTGAATTTCTTGGTCTCTATCAACATCTTATGTCAGTTATAAGTCATGCCATCTTGCAATCTTCTACCCAAGAAGTTTTAAGTCTCCTTTTTATCAGAGTGTATATGAATGTAATGCTATATTATGAGGAATGAGCAGAAACAAAATGTTAAATAAGAACTGTTTGTGATTGTATTGTAAATACTGTATGTTACCTAGAGACATTTATATTAAATTTCATTCTTTTAGTTGGATCAATAAGTGCCATCTGTCATATTTCTAGCTAGAAATTAGTTATTATAATGTCATGTTTTAGGTGAATGGAAAAATGATTTATTCCCTGAAGTCTTGATAACATTTTATTTGGGACATGGCATTTACTACTGATGTTTTTCTAATGAGTCCAGAGTATTTCCTGAAGTTATATAAAGTGGAAAACTATTATGAAGTTCAGTATAAACTCCTAGTCATTAAAATCTCTGTAGGTAACACTGTTATGCTGGGGGAAGTAGGACTGGTTGAGTAATTATGAAGTTACTGTTTGTTTCTTTTTCCCTTCTGCTCTCCCAGTCAGACTGCAGGCTTCCAGAGAGGAGGAGCAGTGTTCATCTTCGTATTTTGTGCAGCACTTCACAGTCACTTAATTTTAGTGATTCTTCTTACAAGTTTCTCGATTTGATTTCTTTTCTTCTCTTGCTTATTGTGCAGGGCAGAACTTACAAAAAGTGTGGTGCTCCCTGAACTAATAGAACTCTCTAGGGATGAAGGCAGCAGTGTGCGACTTGCAGCTTTTGAAACTTTGGTTAATCTGCTTGACATATTCGACACAGGTAAGTCTTTATGTGAATGCATCTTTGCTTTAGAAGGGAGGAGAAAAAGGGATTCATATTTTTTAATGTTAAGTTTTATGATGTTAAGTCTCTCCTATTCTATTTTTGTGATTCTTTTTCTTTTGGTGTCTTCTCTGCTTCTACCTGCTGGCATCCAGGCTTGCTGCATTTTCCACGCTTCTCTCATTTTTCTCTTCAAATTTTAACTGATATGTGTTGAGGGCTAAGAATTTGATGTGGAAAGTATCCTTTAATTTTCTCAGATAATTGACCCTAAATGATGTTTGACTCTAATGAGTTTTCTTTTGATGATGTTTTAATGTCAGAAATGTGGCCACAGGAGGAGAAATGTGGGGTGGAGTATCAGTGGAACTGGGTAAGGAGGTACATTTTAGTATTATACAAATCAAGTTAGAAAAATAACTAGGTGCTCTACTGAGGGTAGGACTAGATTTTTTATTAATGCTTGACAATTAAGTTTATCAGTAAACATTAACCATTTTGGTGGGGTGAAATTTGAAGGGGTAACTGTCAAGACTTAGGTGCAAAACTCAATTGTTATTATAGGATTATTTGCACTGGGATAACCAGTGTTTAATCTGAACTAGGAGAGTCCCTTAAAGATTATTGTAACATAGACATAATTGTGTAAAGATATTGCAGCATAATCATTCAAGTAATAGGATAAACCAGTACATGATCCATGACTGAATGAATCTCTTCTAGTCATGAGACATCCCCAAGCTCTAAACTAGAAACCTTGGCATTGTCTTTGATCTGTTCCCCTTCACTGTCCAGCCTGTCACCAGATTCTTCCCATCCTTCCACCACTTGCTGTTGATATTCCTCTCCCTCTTGCAGTTATCACATTGTATCACACCTTGATTTGCCTCATACTCTGCTTTCCATTTTGCTCCCCTCTCTCCATTTTTCTCCTAGCCAGCGTCTCCTTTTCCTGTTTTCTGGTTCAGATTCAGTTTCTTCTCTGATATATCTCCAAATCTTTTGTACTGCAGTTGGCATGTTACAACCTGAAGGCCAAGTCTGACCTGTCATATGTTTTTGTAGATAAAGGTTACTGGAACACAGTCACGGTCATTTGTTGACATATCACCTGTGTTGTTCAATAGTTGAGTAGTTGAGTAGTTTGGCAAAGCCTGGAACATTTACACAGAAAGCTTGTAGACTCTTGCTTTATAATATGTATTAAAACAGTGTTCACATTGTCTTACATTATATATATGTTGTGTGTGCGTGTGCGTGTGTGTATTTAGCTTCTTTACTGGCTTGAGTTTCTCAAGTTTAGAGACCATTTCTTACTCATCGTTTTGTTTCTCCTTGGTATAATGCTTGTACTGTAAGAAAATCAATACATCCTGGATGAAAGTCATTTACTAAAAACAGCAGATATGGTCTGCAATGTGGTGATAATAGTAATAGGAGTAACAATAACATTCATAGTCTGTTAAGACATTTTATTTATAATTGTTAAACAGTTTAAGGAATTAATTATTTCAGACAGTTTAAACAAACTATGGGAAGCCTGGAGAGTATTTGGAAATGGGACTTGAGTATTGGTAATATAGCAGATATGCTCAAAGAATTAACTTTTGAATAGCCATCTAAGAAGTAAAAGTGATAAAAACAATGTACAGATTATATTATAAGCTAACTAAACTTCAATAAAAAATGAAATGGTAAAATGGGCTTAAACTGCAGCATGGTAGGAGATGAATGTGGAAGAGAATTTTAAAAGTTCCATGTGCCTGCTGCTCATCTATTTATATAAAGGGTGTTAGAATTCTTTTAACTGTTCAGACTCACATCAATCATCTTAGCTCTTTAATTGTAATCACTCTGCATTCTATTCCTTACGATCCACAGAAGTCCAATCTCAGACTGACATTAAATGTTTTTGATAATTTCATCCCTTCCACTACACACCTTCATCTTCATTGTTTTTCAGATATTTTCTATTGTGGGGACAACAGAAATTTTTCTTTTGGAATTTGTGTATGTGTATTAGTTTCTACATGTGCACTGTGGGCAATGGATCTAAAATCTGTATTACTTTGTTTTGTTTTCCAGATGACAGAAGTCAAACTATACTTCCCTTAGTGAAATCATTTTGTGAAAAATCTTTTAAAGCAGATGAATCAATTCTTATTTCTTTATCTTTCCATTTAGGAAAACTATGCCATGGACTATATGGTATGATATATCCTAAGAATTTCCAGACTGGATAATTTTTCTTTTCTTCCACCTTAGCTACTGAATTTAAAGTCTTAAGTTGTAAAACATATCCTTTAAATGTGTAAAATTTTATGAAATCTAGAATTTTGATAGTGTAGTTGGGAGTGCATTTAAAAGTGGCTTTTTCCTTGGTAGCACCCATTTGAAAGAGCAGTGGCAGAGTACACAGAGCCTTTGACATTTCAGAATGTTTTATACCTGTTAGTTGATATGTGGTAATAGAGCTCAGGTTTATTAACTGTTGGTGTGGAGTAAGTATGCTCTTCTTAGCTATTCACTGAAAAATAAATGTATCATGCAGTTCAGTTTAAAATGTAGAATAAATCTTGGCATTTTGAACATATTACCAATTTTCTAGCTTACCATAATCATGTGAGAATTAAGTTATAATCTTCTAGCATAGTAACAGATTTTCTTTTTGTAGATTGTAGACATTTAGTACGTGGCTGAGAGACATATTCCAATATATAGTGAATTCCTATCTCTGAGATACTTAGTGAATCCAGAGCCATCCATTGATCAAAGACATTTTTAATTCAATTTTCTATCTTTCAGAGTCGATATTTAAGCTTCTTCTCTGTAGATACACACACCTTTTCCCTGGGCCGTTTTAGACTATTTACCTTAAATAAAAAGCAATATGTATAAGTAGGCACAATACATAGTAACTTGACAGTTTTCTACAACTGCAGAAATCAGTATAAGCACAATTTTTGTATTTAAAATTAAAATAGAATTATTACAAAAATGAACATAAGATGAATCTGTATGGCCTGTTACATTTCTTCATAGTACTCTTCTTTCATTTCATTTTTTATGAACTGTCTATAACTATTTATTTAAATATGTGGTTCCAAATATGTGCTTTGATTTTTTTCTTTTTAATTTTTATCTTCAATTGAAATATTGAGCTCAGGTTTTGATGTTTGTTTTAGGAATTTTTACTCCAGATCAACACTTGAGATTTTTGGAGTTTTATAAGAAACTTTGTACATTGGGTTTGCAACAAGAAAATGGACACAATGATAACCAGATTCCACCCCAAATCCTGGAGCAGGAAAAGAAGTATGCTTCAGTACGGAAGAACTGTGCCTATAACCTCCCGGTAATAAGTCCTGTGTTCATATTCATTGAGGATTTTGATTGCAAATTTTCAGCATGTGAATAGATAATATAACAAAAATTGCCGTGTTTTATATTTACTGCTTAGCGTCTTATCTGGTGTATATAGGAGATAACAAATACAAGTATGTGTGTAATTTATATCTCTATGCGTATATTAGAATTATGTGCATACTTTTGGGTTGTCCAAGTCTGATTTCTAACTAAATTGTGTTTCAGAGGATATGATTTCAGTTAAAGTAAAGTGATTATAATATTAGCTATTGATGCATGTTTTTTTCTCCTTCCCATTCATCTCCTCCCTTCCACCTCCACCAGGCCATGATTGTTTTTGTTGATCCTAAAAACTTCCACATGGAACTCTATTCTACATTCTTCTGCCTTTGTCATGACCCTGAAGTACCGGTCAGACACACTATCGCTATTTGCTTTTATGAAGTAAGTCTGAAGACTTCAATACTGCTGTGCATTTGCTGTTAACTCTATGGTACTAGTGCTTTTTTATATTTTGTACATTTTTTTACAGATTTGTTATAAGACATGGACTCCATATCTCTTTTGTGTTCTAGTCTTAAGGAATCTTTTTTTACAATTCCCATGATCTCCTTTAGTGTGTCCGCAGAATCCATTTACATAAATACATTGCATTCATTAATTCATTTATTAAACTATTTGTTCAGCATACCTAAATGAAGTACTTACTTTAAGCCAAGCACTGATTGTGGTATATGGGAGTAAAACCAGTATTTATATGCTTCATAATATTTGTACTTAACTTTACGCCTACACTTAACCACATGGAACACATGGAAAATTGAGACCACTTATTTATATTTATTGCTTTTACTGCAAAGGAATCATTTCAAGAACATAGCTTTTAGATTCACCTGTCAAAACTTTCTGTAAAGTTTGAGCAAAAAGGAATTTAAACACTTATGAAGAATATATTTAACTTTTTAACCACTGAAGTTTAATTTTGGGGCTTGTTTTCTCAACTGATAGCAGTGAGCACATCTGTGCTGTATTTGCAGTAAACACAGATAAGCTATAACTTGACAACTGTCACATAAAAACCATTTTGCAAGTGATGTGATAAAAGTTATTTTCTTTATAAGTAGTAGTAATGTATCTTATTTTCAGCAAGAGCAGTTCATCCTCTTTGCACCTGTGCAGCTAATTAAGATTCTTTTGGTTGAATAATATTCTTTGCTTCTTTAAAATATCATGTTTTCTGGTGTGGATGAAATATATGCTCACTGTACAAAACTGAGAAAATAATCCCCTTATGTGGTAAAATTGTCTAAAATTATTCCAATTTTGCACAGTTACATCATCGTTATATCTGCAGAGGTCTGCTTTTGTAAGAGGGGAAAGGGCAGAGGGCACTGCTCAGCTGAGCCTCCAAGATAAAGCATGGTATAGGCTGGACACCACAGACACGTGCATTTTTAGACCATTTGTCTCCAGAGAAGGTTGCACAAGAGTGATGTTCCTGAGTACAGTAGTTGTGCACTACTTGACTTTCTGTTTATGTGGCTTTCTATCTCGTTCCTTTAATCTTGCATTTTATTTATATTTTATAGTGGCTATAATATAGAACCATATTAACAAACGTATCGAAACGTGTATATACAGAAATATTTCATGGGAAGGCCTGAATTTGGAGATCTTGATCTACCTTTTTTGAATGGCTAGTTTCCATATTCTCACAGTCATAGATAGGCTAAAAATGATGTTCAACTGCCTAAAATGAAGGGCTAGTTTTAGTTTGTCCTTTTAAATAATGGTGAACTTAAATTTTTCTAATCTGGTGTTAATGCTGGATTCTGATAATTTACTACATTATAACTTTATTCTTTTCAGGAAAATACTACTTTGAAAATATTTTCAACAAGTCAAGAATAAGTCATAGCAAAGTATTTAAAATGCATTATATATCCAGGAGACTTTTTTTTTCCCCCCAAATAAAACTTAACAGAGGCCCGTTCCCTCCCTTTTTAAGGTTAAACTGGTGAATTCACCATCGCAGGCTCTGAGTTTGCTGGAGAAGAAAAGCTCTGTTCACGGGGGCAGGGGTGGTGGTGGTGGTGGTGGTGCTGGATTGTTTTGTACTCTCCAGAGACCTCTCATGCTAATTAAAGTCTGTGATAAGGAAAAGTAGAGTTGTTTGCCTCCTTAGGAGTTATTACTGCCCCAGTATCACTATAGCCTTTGGTAGGAGGGCCTTCTTTGGGAAGTTTGGAACTAGAATAAATCTGAACCAGAAGCATCTATGGGCTTATTACTGCTTTGATGTGAAAGTTATAACTCCAGTAACACCCATACTGGATGTGCCTGTCCCAGCCTCCTGTATCGACCCACTCCAGGTTATGCAGCAGACCAAAAACACTCATAAGTTTCCTAGAAATGGATTTTAAATTCATTTTATAGCTTATTTTTATTTTAGAGGAAATAACTAACATGTTAAGAAGTATTTTTTAAAAGTTATTTTTAACTTTAAAAGAGTCTCAAATTTGAAAGACTTTATTGCTATGTTTTAGGTGTCCAGACTTCTCAATTCTGGAGTATATTTAATACATAAAGAACTGATAACATTATTACAAGATGAATCACTGGAGGTAACAACTTCTTATTCTTTGTTTTTTAATACATTTATGTTAAGTCCAAATATATCAGCATCTTTATTTTTCCTGCTTCTTGAGAATTGCATGGATTCTTTCATCTGACCAGTCCCAAAGCTTCAGATCAGCACGCTACCATATCATACACTGGGAATTAGCAAAAGCTGTAAAAATATTAGGATTTAAAATATATTTAGTTTTTAAGTGCAAATGTAGATTTGTTAAGAAAGATTTAGGAAGTGCCAAAAAGTAGACAAAAGAGTACCTTTAATTCCAATCACTGTTTATATTTTTCTATATAAATATCACTATATTTTTCTGTGTAAAGTTTTTTTTTACATAATTATACTCATATGTGACATTTGTATTTTTTTCTCCTAGTACTTTTGCCTGGAGAATATTTTCTCTTCTAGTATAGACTTGGGAAGATTTTGAAATATTTCAGTTTGATGCTGTATTTAGTACATTCCGTTCACATAAATGGTCACTGGCTTGCTAAAGCTCAGCTCGTAGGTATTTTGATATCACTGAGGGTTGTATCAATTTAGAACCCCCCTTTCCAAAGTTGGAAGGTAGTTTTTGAGCCTATTAGCCATGTGGAAGTAGCTGTCTCCAGTTTAGACTGTTTGCAATATCAAGAGTCACTACTGCTTTTAAAAAGTAAATGGACTAAGGCAAAAGTCTAATATTTTCCAGCAAGAAGATGGCAGATTAAAAATAAGAAACCCCAAAATGTTGTTTGGTAAATAATAGTATTTCTGGGTAGAAATTGACATGTAGAGTTAGCTCATGTAGAGAGAGGCATAGTCATTGCTATAAGAATAATCAATATCTTTATTAAAAGGTACTAGATGCTCTTATAGATCGTCTTCCAGAAATTTTGGAGCTTATGTCTACTGGTGGAGAAAGCAGTGTTCAAGAAAATAAGGTAAATCCCATCTATCGAAACAAGTCTGACATGTGTAAGTATTGTCCTACATTGCAGAGTAATTGTGAGGAATCAGTGAAGGAATGTACGGAAAGCATGTAAAATTATCCTTCCCCTTTGGGGAGTGAATCCCCAACCTGCTGTGGGGGATCCTCAGCTGGCCCCCCAAGTTTGCACAAGGCCTTAGCATGGAGAAAGAAGGACAGATTACTTACCTAGCTCTGAGCCTTGTTTGGGAGAGTCACTATGGGATGTTGACAGTCATGCAAAGCAGCTTTAAGCTTCTTCATAAGCTTTTTGTCCTGTTTCTGAGAAATCAGAGGGCAAAGGCACCGTAGGCACCCACCCAATTTCTTCAGGAGGGAGGTGATGTAGGAAGTGCCACCTTCTGAGTTGGTGGCTCCTCTGAACCTCAGAAGCCACCCTCTGAGATGCCCGTTGCACTGGCTGTGTCGTGGTGCTAAATGTACAGAAAGCCTCACCCTTTTCTCTTTGCTCATTTCCAGTATTTCTGCTTTGTGGGTGAATAAAATGAAGTGTGTAAATTATTTGAAAATTTCAGAAGGAAGTACTTCTCAAATACAGTATTTCTTATTGATATGTATTTGCAATAACATCTATATTGTTTTGCAGTATTAGTACATATATAAGGTATCTCATGTCTTGGTCATTTTAATACTCTTCTCCCCACTGCTATCCCATTTCACCCTCCTCTCTTATCTCCAAAAAGTAAAATACAGTAGATTTTAATCAATAAGCTTACTATTTTCATAATAAATCAATAGCACTTGCCACATAATGGGTGTTTGTAAAAGTCTGTAGGCTTTTGGACAGCTTAAATTTCCTCTGCAATTCTTACATTAACAATTCTTATATTAGTATGATTTTTATTTATTATCTTTGGAGCTTGCATTCAGATTTTCAGCATTAATAATTATTTCAAGAATAACAAATAATGAGAACAAAGGGTAGGAATTTAGGTCAAAGTTTTCCAATGGTAATATATATCAAATTTTACATTAGCTGGAAGAGTTGCCATTCTAATCAATGTGACAGGAACAATGATGAGTCCGGCCTCTTATTTTGAAATCTGACTCCTGGGGCCATAAATTTTACATAGGGATTTTTTAAAAAAGTATTTCATCTCGCCAGATAACCATTTCCTGTGACAATTGAGATGCCTTTTAAACTCTGCAACCTTTCCCCAGCATATTCTAACATGAATGCTGCCACTGATGGATTTAGTCACCATTGATTCGTTCAAGCATTTTCTTTTCAGCTGTCCTCTGTGCCTGACTTGATCCCGGCACTCACGGCTGCTGAGCAGCGAGCTGCAGCCTCTCTGAAGTGGAGAACCCATGAGAAGCTGCTGCAGAAATATGCCTGTCTGCCACACGTCATATCGAGTGATCAGATTTATTACCGTTTCTTACAAAGAATGTTCACAATCATGATGACAAATGTAAGTCTCTCATCTTTCATCTCCTTCTTTTGAACTCATGGCTGATTTTGATGTTACTAGACTATTTACATTCTCAAACTAGGGTGACACATGCAATTTGTTCCATTCTTCCTGGGAAAATAGCATCTTCCCAGGGCTCTGAGGAAGGAACCTTGTTCCCTTTGCTCCACGACTGGTTCTCCTTTTGACCATCTTCCACCTGGCTGGAGGCAGGCTTGGAGAGGTGGAACCTGTACTTCTGCTTTGGTGTGTGCTACTGGGAAGTGTGCTCCCTTAAAGGTACTCATTGCAAGCGACCTTCTGCTCTTAGGTTCCCCTCTGATGTTCTCCAACCTCTTTGTCTCACTGTAGCGAGGCAGTTTTCCCAAGGCTTCTCTTGATAATAGCTTGCATACTTTTTCTTTAATAGTACCTAATGGGTGGCTGTGAAACCAGTGAAGTTTATGGTGGGAACTTGGATGCCTTATTATAGATAATCTTACTGTTAAGAGTCAAAGGAGTCAAGACTCCTCGCTGGAAACAAGGTTGTACTAGAACCTCCTCAGAAAGTTAGTTGTCAGCTTTTTTCACAAAAAGTTCCCACAAGTCATTACACATTTAGTGTGACACCCTAATACCAAGTTTTGAAGTTTAAAAAAGCTCCAGATGTTTGTTTTAGAAACTGAAAAAAAATTTTTTTTAATTCTCATTATTTGTTCTCAGTATAGAGATGATAAAGTCTAGCAGCTATCTCAGAAAAATTAAGTTTTGCTTTGAAAACTTAAAAAAAGTGTATATTATTGATATTATTTACAACTTACATAAAAGTAATAGGCATCCATTGTATGACCTACCATCCCCACAAGTTTATCTCCCATACTTAAGCAAATCCTAGGGAGTAAAGGTTACATTGTAGATATAATACTCTTACAACTTCATCTCGACAATGATACATATCCTTAGTTTTACACTGTAATAGCACAACTATACCACATGGGATATTTCATATAAACTGGAGCAGAATTTATTAATTTTATTCAGCATTTACTTGAGTGTCTGTTATGTATTAGGTACTTTTTGGAGTTTGCATTCTAGAGTGAGGATGATGCTATATTAACAGGTGTTGGTAAGTGCTCTCAAAATTGGTCTTAATTGTTGGTGTGTTAAGGAAATTTGGAATACATAATTATTCTGTGTTCTTAGCTTCTCTTATTAGGAAAGAGAAATAGTTTATAGTGTACAATATAAATGAATGTCTTTTAGCTTGAGATTTGTTTTACTGTTTTCTTTCTTAAGGCCCTAATTTCATAGTTTAAATCCAATACATGGTTACGATAGCACATTTTCTGTGTTCAAAGGGAACCCTTAAATATTTATATTTTAGTTTCATAATTGTCATAGTATTCATTCATTCAACAAAATTTATTGAGTGCTTTAATGGAAAATAGATTTTGGGAAATAGGAAGAAGTTGTTCAAAAGAGAAGGGGAACAAGAGAAGGAGAGGGGGAAGGGAATGAAAGGAAAAGGGATTTATAAAAAGAATAGAAGGAAAAAAATGGAATCAAAGTTTTTGTAAATGAGGGGGGAAGGGGGTTTGAAGGGAGGGATGGGGAAGGTGAAAATTAAGATATATTATGTACAGGTATAAATTTCCCATGATGAATGTGATCATTATGTATGGCAAACATATACTAATAAAAATTTTTAAAAATGAAAATTCAAAACATTATTGAATACTTGCTATGTGCCAAGTACTATTCCAAGTGCCAGGAATACAATAGTGAAAAAAGAGAAAAAGGGCCTAGTCTCATAGAGATACATTGGGGTTGCAGCAAAATAATTCTTCTTTAATAGCATTTAATAACCAGCCCATATTAAAAGTTTGTCAGTAAGCTCCCAAAGGAGCTTTACCATCCCATAGGGGTCCCAGGTAAGACCTATACCTTGCCTTTGGTCGTTGCATCTCAAATTCTCTTTTAATCTGCAAGCATTAGCCCTCCCCATTTTTCCACAACATTGAATTGTGGAGGAAAAGAGGCAGTTGTCATGTGTGTAGAATATTCTAACTCATTTATTCATCAGATTTTCTTCTTTATGGCATTAATTTATTTATCACTTCTTCAAGTTCCTTGTAAGCTGTAAAATCTGAGCACTTCCTGCAATTTAGGGTAAGCCTTTATGGCTAGAATACTTCATAGGTGCTGCTGGGTATTTTATATCACAACATATCTGGACATCATATCTGCTTATTCCACTGTGGGTGTGCTAAAGTAGTTACTGCAGGTAGTGATAGTTCTATTTATGTCCTGCAAACTTACATTTCTCCTTGTGAACTGCATTGCACTCTGCAGCTCTTTTTTCTACACTATAAACACTGAGTTTCTCATGAGCCTCTTACCCAGCAATGTCAGCATTAATCTCAACTTGAATCGGTAGTGATTTGCTTACCTTGAGATATATTATCTAATGTACAGATATGTTGAAACCTTGAATTTTTCTATCAATTTACAGAGCTAGGAGTTGTGGTGCAGTAGCTATGACAAATAGTCATAAATGAAGCTTTTGGGCTTTTGTCTCTCTCTTTTAGACTCAATTTAAAAATATTAAATGATGTTTTTATTAGTTGCAGCCCTTATTATTTATGTTCAAATTGTCACAATTTCTTCATGCTGGCTTTTATGTGTTTTTGATTATATTTATTTTCAATTTCTTATCCCAAAGGATATTCACTTTGTACTGTATGGCATTATCTATATGAGATCTAAACTATGCATATTGTCATAGTACTGGTATATATGCTTTTGAAGTGCTGTCATTATACACAAAATGAAAGAAAAGAGTAGTGTCCTTTTGTTCACTGTCTAAAATTAATTTTTAAGCCTAGTTGTGTTTTTTGTTATGTATGTTTCTTAAACTTTTGGTTCTAAACTATAGCAGATATTTTTCTGTTACATTTAACAGTTAAAATACCACATGGAATAGTACTACACGATGGAAACAGCACATAAAACAGGCGACAACACGGCAGGCACTACTTGCTCTGCAGTGTAACATTTTATTCTACCCAAATTTCAAGGGTTCTGACTATGAAAATCTGAATCTTCAGTCATTCAATATTATAGTATTTATATGTAAGTCAGTATGGTAAGCATGAATGTATAATGGACACAGTATACCTGGTTGAGTGATTTTTCTTAAATACATGGTTTGAAACAGTGGACTGTGTTTAGAATGAAGGTTAGGCCAGTGGTGTGACAGAATTCAAAGCACAGAGGGACATGAATACTGGTAAGAGTGGTTGACCTGGTGTCCTTTTTATTCTAAGCTTTATCTGTATCATGGGCCAGAAATCTCAGGGGGTGACATTGAGGTTGAATTAAACTAGAAAGATGGAAGATTGTTCCCTCTTGTGGGATCTCTACGTTTACACAGAAGTGGCAAGTTTTGGGTGACATAAGTGACACATGGTGTGTTTTAGTAAATGTCTGTTGAACGAAAGAGAATTCAGGAATGGATAAAAGGATGGGTGGCTGCTGCATAGCTGAGGGAATGTCTCATTTAGGAGGATGTGGCAAGGAAATGAAAGCCAAATCGGGATGATTTGGACATAAATTAATTTTGCATTGTGATGTATTAGTTGATTTGCCTGAATGATAGGAACATTGCATTACTAAGGTACTTCCAGAAGGATATAAGTTCATTGACCTGAAAGGCAGTGAATATTCTCCTTTTAGCTAATAACATTAATTTGGTGATGGGGACAAATTATTAAGAATGTGTATTAGGATAGTGTAATGGTATTTCTTTTTTTTTTCTCATTGAGTTTATTGGTTTGGTACATTTTAGGTATACAGTACCGTTACATTCATCATTGGGATCTTGTACCTTTACATGACAGGTCTTGTCTTATTTATTTCTTTAAGAATGTCTTACCAGTCCAAAAGGCAGCTTCACGAACTCTATGCATTTTTCTACGATACAATCGTAAACAAGAACAGAGACATGAGGTTATTCAGAAATTAATTGAACGTAAGTAATCAATGTCTTCTATTTTGAAAAAGAGAAAGTAACTAATCTAGGTGGCCTTAATTAGATCTGACTTACATTATGTATCATTTTTCCAGAGTAATTAGGCTGATGTTGGTATATATCTAGTGTGTGCTTTGAGTTTTGTAGGTTAATTTGTGTTTGTTTTGGAAATCTTTATGGCAAGGTCATACCTGTAGCGAATGAAAGTAATTCTTTTGTGAATTTGAATACTTTGAGAAATTAAAATATGTAAATTTACATTGAAAGCCTGGTTTTTACCTTGATGCAATAGCAATTGGAACTAAAGTATGAATAGAATATTTATTTATGAATTTATTATCTACTTTAAATTCTGTTTTCAATATTAATAGAATTCATAGAATGTGGTTTTTAAAAATTTTTCCTTGAATAGAATTAACAGTACATATGAATGTCTTAGGAAGCCAAGTCAGGGAGTTGAGGGTCTAGCACTGCCTAACATATTCTGGGTCCTGGGTTGATCCCTAACACTGTTTAAAAGAAAACAAAAACACCTAAGTGAGCAAAGTTAACAAATGTAAATGTATTTGAATTTGTTAAGGGCTACATACAAGGTAAAAATCTTTAGTGAATTGTTAATTATAAAAAAAGTGACTCAGACCCCGACATGCTTAGTGAGGTAGGCATTAAACCCTTGCTTTGACTACTGTGTTTTAATGTTTTTGTTATAATGTTATCCAGCTTAGGCAGATAATAGAGTTTTCTGGTTATCAGAATTTACTATTTTAAGCACAGGTCATGGTCATCACTTTTCAAAAAACTAGAGTACCTTATAAAATTCCGTTTAAGAAAAGTTAAGCGTAGTATACTTTAGTCTTTTTGCTGTTTACTGTAAATCAGTTTTCATTTTCTATTGGTAATACCTCACATTTAGAATAAGCTTTATTTTGAAAGAAGATTCTGTTTAGTTTTGAATGCTAAAAATTTTTACTTTTGAATATTTATGTAAAAAGGAGAAAATAATCCTGTAAATATTGACTTGAATTATTCTAAGTAATACCACTTCATATGACTTTGTCCACATCGAAGTATTTTTTAAGGAAACAAGAGGAGGAAGAGAACAGTTAATTTGATTATGAAAAGATTTTGAAGCCTGAAAGACTTGTTTGAATTCTAGCGAACTGAAGCTGAGTCTCATTGTCCTTGCCTTTTAGAAGGAATAAGCATGTGCTTCCTATTGGATTGCTTTTCAGGATTAAACGAGATATTGTATGCAAAATATTTAGCATATAGTGAGTGATCAAGAAAAAGCATTCTCATTCAATAATTAAGTAATGTTTATTAAATTCAGTACAATGTTAGTATAATTTTTTATTGGTTTTCAAGGTGTTGGCGATTTTGGAGTCTACAAATCTGGGATCTATAATATGATTTTTGCCTCTTTGTATTTGTTAAATAAACTTGTCATGGATTTTGTGCATTTAATTTTGTCAGGGATAATTTCATGTAGGGAAAAAAGTCAACAGATGATTTTTTTTGTTGTTGTTTCTAGAACTGGGCCAAGGAAAAAGTTACTGGAATAGACTTCGATTTTTGGACACCTGTGAATTTATCATAGAGATCTTTTCCAAATCATTTTTCTGTAAATATTTCTTTCTACCTGCTATTGAGCTTACACATGATCCAGTAGCAAATGTGAGGTATGTTGCCACTCCAAGAAAATAGTTGAAAACTTTGTGTTTCTCATATATCTATTATAATAAGAATTATTTGAAAAATCTTTTCCTTGGTTGAAAAATCAAGTAAAAATTTAGAATCACTTTTAAATTTTTTGTATTTTTTTCTAAAAATTAACTTAATAGCTGTACATGTTTATGGGATACAGTGTGGCAGTTTGACAATGTATACAACGTGTATTGAAAAAATCAGGATAATATTTCATCTTATTATACATTTGTCATTTCATTGTATTGGTAGACTTCAAACACCTCTCTTTTCGTTCTATATATGAAGTAAAATTATTATAAACTACATTTACCCTAGTGCTATTGAAGACTAGAACCTGTTCCTCCAGTCAAACTGCATTTTGGTGCCTGTTACCTCCTCACCCCCAACCTTTCCCTCTCTCGAGCTACCACTACTCTCTAGACATCAACTTTTCTAGCCTCCACACATAACGGTGAGATCGTGCAGTATTTGTCTTTCTGTGCCTGCTTATTCCTTTTACATACTGTCTTCTCGTTCATCCATGTTGCTGCAAATCACAGTATTTCATTTTTATAGCTGAATAATATTCCACTGTGTATAGATACATTTTCTTTACCCATTCATCTGTTGATGACATCTTGGTTGTCTACGTATCTTAGCTGTTGTGAATAGTGCTACAGTAAGATCTCAGTAGTCTTAATTGATGAGTTTCAATAGGACTTGGAAACATACTGTTTCAACGCTGTCTCAGATCCTTTGTCTTTTTGGGCTGAGAGAGCAGAAATTCAATGCCAGTTTGGTAGGGTCTGGCTACATACATTAGCATCAGGAGAAGGTTAGGTAGTATTGTTAATTTATCTTGTCATTCAGATTAAAGAAATAATCATCAATAGCCTTGTCACTTCAAAGTTGACTTGAGCATCTGGCCATTCTGGGGTCATTTGCTTAGGGAATTGGGCCTGACCTGAAGTCTTATCTTCTGTGTTCAGTTGTCTTACCCTTTTGAAGTCTAATAAATTTTAATTGGATTTGACTTGGAACAGACCTGAAAATGGCTTCTTTGTAAAAAAGAATAAATATATTTTGCCTTTTTTCTCTTTCCAAATAAATGTATCATTTCATTTTGTGGTGGTGGTAACATATATATGACATAAAATTTACTATTTTAACCACTTAAAATATATAGTTCAGTGGCGTTAAGTACACACACATTACTCAAGAGCCATTTGTATATTTTTAATGAAGCAAAAAGAATTTTAAACCCTCAGCTGTTAGATTTCTGTGCTCAAGCTCTGTGTCTCTGTTTTGAACTGGACACCAGGACAGTTGACCAAAGACTTCCCTGAACAGAATTCCAGAGCTCCCCACTGCATTTTCACATGTGAGTCACACGTAGTTTTATGGTGTATGATATACATGCATCCTTTTTAAACACTGGCTTTATGTAGGAATACACAAAACATAATTTTTAAATAAAAATTGGCAAGGCAACATGCTGGCATAATTGGCAGTCTTATCAATGACATCTATGACAAGAAGACTGGTCAAAGATATTGGAAACTTCATTGTAAGAATTCTTTGATCCTCTTCCTATTTGAAAAAGATCTATCTCCCTACTTCTATTATCTGTTTTTTATTTTGCTCTTTATTTGTAATTTGAGTTTCTTATATAAGAGAAACCATGTGATAGTTCAGCTTGTATGATTTATTTCACTTAACATTGGAAGGAAGCGGGGGAGAGGGGAAAGGAACGGGAATGAAAAAAGGACTTAAGACATATTATGCACGTGTACCAACTCCACACAGGAATGTAAGCGTTCCATACTGCAAACATGTGCCAGTAAAAATAAATACATTTTTGAAAGATTTTTTGAACACTATTGCATGGGAACAAATGGAGTGGTTTTGTATTTTTAAGGTGAGAAAATACACAAAGCATAACTACATTAGTTGTCAGAGTTTGTGCATTTTACTTGCACTGTATAAATGAGTGATGGGGTATTTCTCACGTCTAATGTAAAGTGCAAAGAACCCATTGAGAACTTTTAAAATTCAGCTGTTTCTAACAACTGGGGTGTCTAACCATATTGTTGACATTTTGTAAATTGAAATTGTGAATCTAGCAGAACAACTTTCAAGGTGATTAATTATCACTTATCAAGCAGTTAATAAGAATAACTTGAAAGGATATGAAATCATCTCTACTCTGGTCACTGACAAATAGTAGTGCAGACTCAGAGAGAGCAGTCTGCCAACTCAGAAACCACATGGAGATTAACTGAATGTCACTTCCTGAATTTTGGAAACTTGAGAGTGTTGAGATTGTTGTGTAGCAGTTTGTGTTGGTTCCCTCTCTCCTTCCTAGGCAGTTGCCATGCAAAGAGATGGATCCGATAACACCATATCCCCCTGGGATTTTGGGCACCAAAGCCTTCACTCAGTGTGATAGGGCTGTGCAGATAGAATGAAAGCTGTCACAGGACAGGGTGGTAGGATCGTGCAGGTTAGGGTGGTTTCTGGACTCACTGCCTGAGTGGAGGTTCCATCTCTCTACTAGTTGTGTGTCTTTGAGAAATGACAAAAATCTTTCTGTGCACAGATTTTCTTAGTACTTAATTCATAGGGTGTTCTGAGGAATACACCTGTGAATGATACATGTAAGAATTGAGTTTACCTGAAAGAAAGATTTGGTCCCTCATCTCAAGAACTTGATAATTTTATGGGCTCAGGAATCTCACAAAAATAAATCAGTACCATGGCTTTAGTAGCTTCTGCTAAGTATAATTTTCTACATATGGCTGTGAAATAAAGAATGAAGTATGTATTGACTGTTAAGTGTTTTTATTCTTCCATAAATGAATGTTTGAAATTTAAATTAACTGAGCTTAGACAGTATCGAGGCTAGACAAACCCTATTTGTATTCAGAAAAGCCTTTCTTTTCAACTATAAGAAATGAAGTAGTTTCTGATGGGGCCACATTGCTCTGCACAGTGCTAAGGATTCTGGAGGAGGCGCATCTGCACCCTTTTAGATGAATAGAAAGCAAATTTTGTTGTATGTGAAGAATTCAGAGCTGAAAGCTCTGCTGAGAAAGCAGCTTGGAAACTTGGTGCAGAAAACTGGCCTGGAGGGCAGGCAGATGAGTGACTGACTGCAGTGGCTGTAATGCGACAGCCGCTGAACATCCCTGACTAAAAGCGGCCTTGGCAAAGGGGAGCTGGAGGAGCCACTGCTCCTGTAAAGGCTGTCTTTACTGGGTTTTCTGTTACCTCCCCAGCATTCTTCAGTTTCCTTTTGCTTCTCATTGACCTCATCTGGACTAAGATGATGCCTTAGACTGTTTCCCTTTTGTCTTCTCTTCCTGTTCTCGTTACCTTAGTGTGGACTCTCTCCACTCTCATGGCTTAATATCATCTGGATGCTAAGATCCTGACTTTTTCTCCTACAAAGATGTCCTCCTGGATCACACTCACCAAGCCAGCAGCTGCCTGGCATTAGCTATGAATATATAACTGGCACTCCAGACTTGATCTGTGCAGAATTTAATTCTGATCTTCCTTAGCTATTGTGCTCTTCTGCAGCCTGCCCTATCTCAGTAAATAACCATTTCATCTTTCTACTTGCTTAGGTCAAAACCAAGTCTTTTCTTTTCTAGTTCTTCAACATTCACCATTGCTTGCAGAATATATCCAGAATCCATCGCTTCTTGTTACTTCTACTGCTATTACTCTGGCTTAATCAACCCCCAGCTCTTGCTTAAATTATTGCAAGGGCCTCTTCTGTTGTTTCTCTTCTCTCCATTACCACCTACAATCTAATCTCAAAACAGTGGTCCATGAATACTTTTATAAATTCGATCACTTCACTCCCTGCTCAAAAACTTCCAGTGCTCCTCACTACACTGAAAATAGAAGAAGCCCGTCGCCCTGCAGTGGCTTCTTGTCACCACTCTGTTTTTATTTTTTGTTTTTTGAAACAGAGTCTCACTATGTAGTTGAGACTGACCTGGAACTCACTATGTACCCCAGGCTGGTCTCGAACTCAGAGATCCTCCTGTCTCAGCCTCCGGAGTGCTGGGATTAAAGGTGTGTGCCCCCACGCCCAGCTTTCATCACCACTCTGTCTCCTGCTAGTCTCACTCTCACTCTGCTCTGCTACCAAGGCCCATTTACTAAACTGGACCAGTTTACTGGGCAACAGGAAGGCAAGCTCCCCTTATCTTCTAGGAATATTGTCAGATATCCACATCCGACATGTCCCTGTCTTCTTTCCCTGCTTCATTTCCCTCTGTAGCTTTGCCATTTTGTCTATTTATTTATAGTTACTCTCTCTTCCCTCCCCAATACTGAATGAAACTCTTGAAGAGCAGAGAATTTTGTTGGCTTTGTTCACTTTTGTGTCTTGGAATCCAGACTAGGGACTGCTCGACACATAACAAACACTTCACAAATACTTGCTTCCTGAATAGGCTATCAAAACCTTGACTTTTCTTTCAATTTTATGTTACTGTTATTCTCTGTTATTAGATTCATTTTAATACTAACTGATTACAGAATGAAACTGTGCTGTCTGTTGCCCAAAGTGAAATCAACTCTGAAGATTCCTGCAGATAAGCACCTACTTCAGCAGTTAGAAATGTGTGTAAGAAAACTCCTGTGTCAAGAAAAAGATAAAGATGTTCTGGCTGTTGTAAAAAGAGTAAGTATCCCTCTTGCTTGCATTGTTTATTGCAGGAGTGCGTTAGCACTTTGGCTAAATAGGACAACAGTATGTTAAGATGTTTATGTCTTTGCCAGAGCAGTCTTAGTGAATGATTTGACTGGTGTTGGCTACAAGGGACTATGAAAGTACCTTCTAAAGGACCTTCAGATGTCAGGCTTTTACTACTAGTAGTACCAGCTTCCCGAGGGGGAGGCTAAGATCAGTGAACACAGCTAGATGAGTGATGAATGCTTCATTCACTGGGTTTTACTTCTAAGTCACTACAATGCAGTAAACTCTGTTGGTAGAATTGGGAAAGTCAGACTTTATATGAACAGCCTCAGAAGGGCCTTCCAAAATTTCTTCAGTGGCCTGTGTGGCTTTGTGAAAGTGTGAGACCTGTGCCGTGTCTGCTCTAGATTGTATGGTAAGTGGCAGAGCCAGACTAGAACAGACACCTTGCACCTAGCCCTGAGCACATTTCTTTCTAAACAATATAACATTGTGATTTATAATTTTGGGTATTTTAGCATGCTGTCCTATGTGGATTGTTTTGGAATGTTGGAAAACTAAAGCGGTATAGATTTGGGTTAGCGGACTCAAACCTTAAACTACTTTGTAGTTTTCAAAAAGATCCTATACTGAATATGTCCCTAATATTGTTGTAAGATCAAGTTAAACTAAAGTGGTTACTTTTAGGAATCTGAATGTGAACTTTAGAACATAGTTTTTGAGCAGTTCTTTACGGTTTGAGAGATTAATTTATTAATGTTATAAATCGGTGATGGAGAACCTGTTTGAGTTTTCAGTGATATAAAGAGCGTGCTGTGTCAACTGTGCTGTAGGGTTACCGCTACTGTTATAAGTAAATTAGCATCAGTGGTGGGAAAGAAAAGAATCTTGCAATTCACCCCACTCCTTTTTCTTCTTGAGATTGTTGCCAATGGCCCTGAGGATAGTGATTTGATAATTAGTATGATTCTATTTTATTGAGATGTGATTCCTTCTTCATCAATGAGAACCAGAAATACCCATAAAAATACATCAAATTTAAACTTACACATACATTTGTTTCAGTCAGACATTAGTGTGCACAGAAGTTTTGGCATTTATTTTAATTTTTCAAAATAATAGACATGAGTTATTTACTTTTTCAAAAAAGTTATTAATTCATAGATAAACTACTTCTATAGATACAAAAAATAATTAATGAATTATTAATCTTCCATGAGTTCTTTTGAATTACAGCTCTTATTTTAAGTATGTTTTACATAGTGAAGTCACTTTGTTCTATGAAAATTCCAAAGTTTAATACTGATTGAACTCAGTTATTAGGATGGGACCCTCTGTGGAAGATAAGCAAAACTTTGGGATAAAAGTGGAATAGCCTACTCTAACCCACTTAATATAGGAAGTAATTTTATTTTAAAAGGGAGTATTTAATAAATCAATTTATTCTGTAAATTATAAATTTTTCATAAATTTCTATATAAAAAACTTCACACAAATTTTGTTTGTAGTACATGGCTTTGGTATATGAATATACAGATGTCTGATGTGGTTGTTAGAGTTATTCCTTTTAGGCTGGGCTTTAGAAGCACAGTCCTCTGTCGGAAGCTGAACCCTTGATTGGCGTGGCCATTGTTTGATTGGAATACTTCATTTTAGACCCATGTATTTGGAAAGATAAATACTTTTTTATTCATTAAGTTTATTGGTACATTTTAGGTATACAACCAAATTGACAGGATACTTTCAGAGCAAAGCCTTTATTAGTGGTTATGGTGTCATTATAATAAACAGTTTCTGTAGAAGAAAGTAACAATTTTAAGGCAACTGATAGCTCACTTCATGTATAAAGACTTTATTGTTTTTTGGTTTTTTTTGTTTTTGTTTTTGTTTTGGTACCGGGGATTGAACTCAGGTCCTTGTGCTTGTGCAGCAGGCTGCAGAACTACTGAGCTAAATCCCTGGCCCCTTATAAAGACTTTTAAAAAATGGTATTTCTGAAAATTCAGAAAAGATTGGCTCTGGGATTTACTACAAATTAGTTAAATTGCATAAACTTGCTATTTAAAATACACCTGTAATCGCAAGCGCAAGGTCCCGAGTTCAATCCCTGGTACAAAAAAAAAAAAAGAAAAAAGAAAAAAAGCACCTATAGTCTTGCTCTTCTTAAGGTAAAAATTTCTAAAAGTTAAAATGGATCCTGACAGTAATATTTAGAAGTTAATTATAACTACACTGTACAACTGGGTAGAATTTCAAAATTTCTTGACTTAAATGTTCACATAGTGCAGAAGTCTTCTCTTTGAACCTCTCTGGGAAAGGGAGTCTAAGAAATGAATCAATTGAATTGTTGTTGAATAATTCTACAAACCTTTTTTTTCTAGACTGTGCTGGAATTGGACAGAATGGAAATGTCTATGGATGCTGTAAGTACACAGTGTACCTTATACCGAAATGAACATTTAGAAATTGATGGGTAGTCATCACTCATGTTTGACAATTCCATTTTAAACTTCAGTTTCAGAAAAAGTTTTATGAAAAAGATTTGTTGGATCAAGAGAAAGAAAGAGAAGAACTGCTTCTTTTGGAAATGGTATGCTGTTTTCATATGTTTGGTTAGTTTTGTTTTTTTGTTTTTACATTTCATGCATTTTTTTCCCATTAAGTTTATTGGTACATTTAATGTAAACAGTCCAGTTACATTCGTCATTGGGATCTTGTACCTTTATGTGATGTATCTTGGTTCTTATTTATTCCCCATTTTCCTGCCCTTCCTTCACCCCTCCCCCCATTTACAAAACCTTTATTTCCATTTTTCATATTTTTTCTTTTTCCTTATTTCCTTTCCCCTACCCTTTCCATTTCCCCTACTTCTTTAGCCCTTTTCTTTCTATTTCACATGATCACTTATGCCATTTGAACCTTATTTACACTTTTAGTTTAATCACACCAGAAAAACTATTTGGTATTTACTTGTGTGTGTTCTGTTTATTTCCCTTAAGAGTATGGCTTCAGTATGCATCCATTTAGCTATAAATGTCTAGTTTCTCATTCTTTATGGCTGAGTAATATTCCATTTTATAGAAAAGCCATATCTTCTTTCTCCAGTCTCCAGTTGATGGCCAATTGGGCTGTTTCTAAGTTTTAGCTATGACAAACTGTGCTGCTATAAACATGGGTGCACATATATCCCTGTGGTATGATTCTTATAATTCTTTTGGAACGATACCCAGCAGAGGGATAGCTGCATCAAATGGGACCTCTAATCCTAGTTCTCTGAGGTATCTCTCTATTTATCTCCACAGTGGTTGCACCAAAATTGGAGAAGGGTTTTTAAACTGTGCTTTGTTATTCAACTTTCAATTTCACATTACACTTTTTCTCTAAGTAACTAAAGAAGAGCTGTGGTTTTTCTGAAATCTGTTTTTATGAACTAGAAGAAAAATTATATTTGAGAATCTCTTTTTAAAAACTTGAAGTAAATTGCAATTTAATTAACTGCATACATTTAAAGTGTGTAGGTAACACAATCAACATATGAAATATGTCTATTACCCCAAAAGCTTCCTGTTCCCCTTAGTAATCTATATCTTCTAGTTCAGTCCCATTACCTGCTGAGCTAGTTTATATCATTATAGACTGGTTGCATTTTCTAGAATTTATATAAATTGAATCATGGGTAGTCATTTTAAATTTTTATTTTTTTATTAGTCCATGTTGGCAGGATATAACGTTTACAGTCCTTGTGTGGAGTTGGTACATGTACATGGCACATCTTAATTCCTTTTTTCATCCCCTTTCTCTCCCTTCACCCTTCCATCTCTTGATCTCCTTTTCCAATCGAAAAATATCTTTCTCCCTGCTTCCTGTTATCTTTTGTCTGGCTCTTTGTTTATAGTTTGTGTTTCTCATATAAGAGGAGATGTGTGATATTTAAATTTGTTTGTCTGATTTTCTTCACTTAACATTCCAGTCTCAAGGTACATCATTTTCCTGCAAGTGAGTCAAGTTTGTCTTTCTTTATAGCAGAGTAGTGCTCCATTGTATGTGAATACCACATTTTCATCTATTGATGGACATATAGGCTGCTTTCAAGATTTAGCTGCTGTGAATTGTGCTATTTTGATCATGCTTTTTTCCATTAGTATAATAATCTTGAGATTCAACCATAGTGTCGATTGTATCAATAGGTCATCCCTCTTTATTTTGGAGTAATATTTCATATTATGTATGTAGCACAATTTGCTTATCTTTTCACCTCTTAATGAACATTTGGGTTATTTCTAGTTTTGGAATATTACACATAAAGCCACTTTGAACATTAGTGATGACATCTTTGGGTGGAAATGTTTTTCTTTTTCTTGGGTAAATACTTGGGATAAAATGACCTGGATCACATGATAGAGTATTCCTATCTTGAAAATAAACAAAACCCTTTTTCTAACATGGCTGTACCATTTATATATTCCTGACTCTGGTGGAGAGTGTTAGGTACCCCTCATATTCTCTATAAGGTTTGACATGGTTCTTTTTTTAATTGTAGCCATACTAGTGGTATGTAATGGTGTCTCACTATGGTTTTAAATTGCATATCCCTAGTGCCTAAAGTTATTGCTCATCTTTTTACTTGTTTATTGGTCTAGACTTTCTTTTTTGATGAAGTCTGTTTTGAGAATTTAAAGTAAATGGTTTATCTTATTGAGATATGAGTTCTTTATTTGGATATTTAAAATTTTTATTTTTCAATTTTTTGCTTCTAGATTATAAGAATGCCAGTATAAGTTTTGTGTATTAATCTTGTGTCTTAATTTGCTAAATTTCATATTTTCTAAACCTTTATTTATTTATTTATTGGTTTTTTTGAGACGGGGTCTCACTATGTAGTTGAGACTGACCTGGAACTTGCTATGTAGCCCAGGCTGGTCTCGAACTCACAGCGATTCTCCTGCTTCAGCCCCCCGAGTGCTAGGATTACAGGCATACACCACTACACCTGGCAGCCTTTTTTAGATTCATTAGGATTTTCAATATATTTTCTTTAAATATAGCAAATACTTCTTCCTATTGAATATTTATATCCATCCTTCCCTCCTTCCCGCCCTCTTTTTGTTCCCTTATTATGTCCCTCTCTTTTTAGTAGTATTAGTGGAAACAGAGTAATATTTCATCATTAGGTAGGAAAGTAGCAATAGTTTTATGTAGATGTCTCATCAGATTGAGGAAGTTTCCTCATTGTCTTAACATTGACTGAGAATTTGTATAAATGGTTGTTGATTTTTGTCAAATACCTTTTCTCCATATCTAGAAATGAAATTTGGTTTTGTCTTTCATTCTGTTACTATAGTGAATTACACTGATCTTTTCAAGTAGTACATCAATTTTATATTTGGGGTACAAACCAACTTGGTGATGACGTCCCTTTTTCCTGTTGTAAAATTATTGGCTAATGTTTTTGTTAAGGAATTTTTAATTTATATTCATAATGAAATTGGTTTATAATTTTCTTTCATCATTTTTGAGGTCAGATTTTTTATTATATGGATCGTGTTCCCACCTCCTCTATTTTCTGACAGTTTGTATAAAGTTGGTCTTCTTTCTTCCTTAATTTGTTTGATGGAATTCTCTCATAACTTGTGCACTTTATCTATGTATATTATACTTTAATAAAATATGTAAACACATCCAGTAGACTATTTCCTTTTCTCTCAGTTTTTACAAAGAAAAAACATTACTTTGCCATTCACAAACAAGAAATTGAAGTAACTAGCAGCAACAAATATTTTGCTCATGAGAACCAGTAAATATCTTCTAGAAAATAGAGATTTATCAGACTGATGCCAAACTTATTGCTTTAGTTGGAAAAACCCCTAAGGACAAAATTTTATAGATGTAAAGAGCACACATCTAACAGAATCTTGGATTTATTAGATACAAATATGGGAGAAAAACATGTTTAAGAACTTCTATGAACTATCTATGAATTGCTGTTGCTTAGAGTTAAGTTTTCATCAAAATAACTTGCTAAGTGTATTTAAGCTGTGCCATTAACACACGGTTATGACTTTCATGGCAGGAGCAATTAGAGAAGGAGAAGCAACAGAATGATGGCAGGCCCTCGAGTGATAAAATCTTTGAGAAAAAACGTAAGTGGTTTTCCTACATTTTCACCACTCTGAAATACTGTTGCAAGCTGACTTCTGATAGACCATGCTGAATTTTAATTTGGTAGGGAAAATTGCTTCACTTTCTTCTATTTTTCAGAAGTTGTTTTTGAAAATTGGCTGCTTAGTGTGGTGCACATGTTCAGAATACATGAGTAAATGTTAGGAATCAGTGTGAAGGTTCAGATGCTTCAAAAGGAAAGCTTAAAGTTTGGTAACAGCTGTAGGACAATGAAATTGATCACTGAATGGCAATGACTGGCATATGGAACTGTATAAGAAAGAGAACATTTGAAAAATTGTGGCTTAACTAGGGATAATGATTTGTATTTTCTATGTTTTAAATTTATGGAAATTAATAAAGACTCAGAGGAAACTATACAATTTAAAACAGAGTTTATTTTAGGCAGAGATATGAAGAGCCTGTCGCAAAGTCTGCCCAAGAGCATCCCCATTTCTGTTCCTGGACCCTCTTCTAGCAGCTCATCAGCAAGTAAGAAATAGCTTCATTTTATGTCTCTGTCATAATCATGTTTTTGTTTTGAAAAAATTAATTGCAGGAAAATGCATTCTGTTAGATGAGATATGTTATTCTCATGTATCACAAGCCTTTTATTGTTCATTGTTTCAGTCGTTCTTAGTGGGTAGCATGGGTAGCATGGGTAGCATGTGTTTCTGTGAGCTCCAAGTAGGGGAAGAATCTCAATTGTTTGTTTTTCTGAAAATAGTGGGGGTTGGGTAACAGAGGATGAAATGAACAATTGCATTTTCTTTCTTTCTGCTTATTACTCTAGGCAAAGAAATCAAGAAATCCAAATTGATTCGAAGCCAATCTTTTAATAATCAAGCTTTTCATGCAAAATATGGCAACTTAGAGAAATGTGCTAGGTATGACCTGCTGGCTACTTTTAACTTGGTAAATTTTATAGTCACACATATTAATTTAGGTGCAACAGTTACATTTTTATAATAATCAAAATTAATCTTGGATTTTTAATAGGTCCATAATCTTTCGGCTTTTATATGTAAAGGTTATTATATTTTTTTAAAATAGTAAAATCTGTCAGTTGGCATAAAAATAGGTATCAGGGCACTGGAGGAAGAATAGTGCCATGACTCTGTGCAAGAACATTGTGGAATCCATGTGCCGTTTAGGAGGAAGGTGTGCTCCACTGTGCTCCACTGAACTTGTTAGCACATATGGGGAGGTCCCATTTGCTAGCTGGCACGGACATTTATTTGCTCTTAATATTGTTTCTGCCTATGAAGAGACCACAGGAGAAACTAAAAAGAGAAAAAAATATATAGAAAGAGAAAGCAAAAGAGAAGATAGATAAATAGGAAGTAGGGAGAAGTTCAAATAATTCACAAATTACTTATTTTGTATTTTCAAAAGTATTTTAATATATATGCTAATTTGTTTCATTTATACTACGAGTTTCTCTTAGTTTATTGAAAAGGAAGTTTTGTGCTTGTATCTGTTGGTTTCTTTATAAGAGAATCTTTTTGTCTATATTTTGTACTCTTAACTTTGAAGATTATGATAGCATATTAACTGTTGTTATTCTCTTATTAATTTGTTATGAAATTTTGTTTTATTTTTTATAAGATTAGAAAAGTGTCACGACAGAGTACTGACAATAGTTGAAGGTCTGGTTTCTGTTTTTAGTTTAAGGGACAAAGTTAGAAGTGGTTAGGGTTAGCAGAGAAGCAGCATAAATGAAATGACCATGATTTTCATGTGTGTGTTGTACATAGGTAGTACTGACCAACTGCATATCAGCTGACGAGCAGTCATTTTAAGAAAATGTCTTTGTAAACGTTCATTTGTCTCTCAAGTAATATGTTACAGAAAAAATGTTCTACTTTTATTACAGCTAACTTATTTCAGATTTTCATTTTAAATGAAATCATGTTCTTTTCTAGTAAAACTACAGCAGGATATACACCTTCTGTCTCAGGGTTAACAAAGAATTCTGTGCTTTCACTAACTGGTAAGTAGCATTCTAAGCTCTTCAAAAAGTTGCTAAAATTAATAATATATTCTTTTCTTTAAGTGGAATTTCTTTTTTACTAGATACTGTCTTTTTAAGTTTATATCTTTATCTTTATCAAATCCCAAAGAAATTAAACTTTTCCCTAGCAATGAAGAAAGTACTAGACTATACCCACTTTGTTTTCACCATATCAAAATTCAATTTTAATGTGAAACTAATTTTTAAAAAAGGGAAAAGACAACATGATAGAATTTTTTTTTTTTTTTTTTTTTTTTTTTTTTTCGCGTTTTACTGTG